AAAAGCTGGCAAGTTAAAACAGAATGTGCTCAGTGTTTGTTTTCTGGGGGTACAAATCAGCCTACACATTTGGAAAGCTTCATTTTTCAATCACTAGGTTATTTTTTTAACACCTTAATCCTTGCATGTAAAAGTCATCTACATTTCTTCTAGAGGGATAAAAGCATTGCCTCCTCCCTGGAAAATTTCATCTGGAACAAGAACTAATGACAAAGTTATGAGCATGTGAATAAGGGTTATAATGAGAATCTTCCTGTAGCCTCAGTTAAAGCCTTACCAGCATAATCAATAACTTGATTGATAAAACATATTTTTAATTTTTGAAAAAAAAATTAATTAAAACTGCTTTGCAGGATCGCATGGAATGTATGCAGGCATGAGAGGCATGGATGAAATGTTTAACTATATGTTCGTTCTGTAGGTTGAATATCATTCATTCAGGTTCACAAAAAATTCAGTGGAACTACTGCTGCTGCACAAAAAATGAGCTACAGAGTACTCCAGAGGGAGCTCAGGAAGCATTCCAGGAAGCCTGATCTCTCCAACTTGAAGAGCACAGAATAATAATTCAGTTCAGATCAACGTGGTACGTACTTGAGTTAAAGTGTTTGTATATTGGGGGGAGGGAAATCATCCATTTCACTGCTTCAACATGGAGGCTATTAAGACAGAAGAGCAGAGGCTATTATAGAAAAACATTTCTTTATGCACAAAAAAAAAAAAAAAAATCAAGTCTGCAATCCATCTATATGCGAAACTGTAATTGTGTCATCAGCAAGAATGAAGAGGAAGTAGGGAAGAAAGGTGTTTAGGGCTAAAGAAAATGATTTCATTTTCTTTAGCCCTGTCTTGTCTTGCAAGAAAATGCAAGACAGAACAAAGTGAAGAAAGTAAAAGTAGGAAAGATGGTCTGGGGCAGTGGCTCTCCAGTTGTGGTCTTCAAGAAAGGCTAGGGGTGGACGTCAACCAACCCCCAGTGATAACAAGCAGTATCCATGTTAGATGCCATACTGGCCTATGCATCCTGCCTCCCAAACACCAACTGCCTCACTGAAAACAATTTAACTAACTTTGCTGCAAAGCAGTGCTACTTATTCTAGATGCCACACCTCACTAATGCAGCTACACTGATCCCAGTCCAGTCCAGTGCAGCCCAGGAGCTGGAGAACAATCCACAGCACTTCTCTGTGCTGACCTAGCACTGCACGGATGCAGCTAACATAACACAACTTCCAGATCCAAAAGTTGCAGTTGTTATGGTGAGTCCCAGAGTGAAAAACGGAGAACCACTGGCATACAGGACAGAGTGCTGGAGCAGAACTCAAGACTTGCCTTCAGTTCCCAGTAGGCCTGTGCGAAGCGGCAAGTATTTGCTTCAGATTCAGATTTGGCTGATTCAGGGGACAATGATTTGATTCAGTGATTCAAATCGCTGTCCCGAATTGATTCAGCCGAATCATCCAGGCCCATCCCCTGCCTGCTCTCCCAGCCTGGACATGGCTGCCACCCCAGCTTCCAGCACTTGGGGAAAAAAAAAGCCCCAACTCAGCAGGTAGTGCTGGGTGGGAGACGATCCCCGCTGCCCCCCACTGCTCCACGCTGCGTGGGGGCCCCTGCACGAGCCCCATCCCCCGACCTCCCCCTCACTCCCCCCAGCCCTACTACCATGGCTGCCCCACCCGCCCCAGCTCCAGCCCTTTAAGGAAAAAATAACAAAAACGAGAAAACCCCCAGACTCGCTGTTCCTGCCAGTGGGGGACAATCCCTGCTGCCCCGCACTGTGGGGAACTTTGCACGAGCCCCCCATCAAAGCCGCTGCAGGAGCCGCGAGTCCCAGGGCTTTTCTCGTTTGTTTTTTTTTTCTTAAAGGACCAGAGCTGGCCCAGGCGGGGCACCCGTGGGGGGCCTGGGGGAGCAAGGGGGATCAGGGGGCTCGTGGCAGAGCCCCCCATGCAGCGTGGGGCAGTGGGGGGCAGCAGGGATCGCCCCCCCAGCAGCCCTCAGTGA